CCTGCTTATGCAGGGGGTCGGACTCGATGATCTATTGAGGTCCCTTCCGACCCTAACATCTATGAATCTATGAACACAAGTTACTAGGCTTGATCCAGGGATAATGGGTTTAATGTAATGACCTCTGAAATACAGGAAGTGACACCATATTGTTTCATGTTTCCTTCTGGCTGTAAGCTCCATGACTTTGTGAATGAATTTAATTAAATTATGAATTTTCATCACTGCACTGTCATAGCAGCTCCCAAATAAATAGTGTCCCACTCCTTTAGCCTATATTTAGCTGAGTGTTTTAGTAAACTGAGAATATTTCTCAGGAATAACTTGATGTTGTTGGGAAGGGGAAGTTGAATATTTGATCAAAGAGCTTGAAAGCTGGCTGCTTGGCCTGTATGGTCACCTAATCCCAGCCATACTTTTTTTTTTAAAGAATGTGAATTATGTACCCTAAAACATTAATATGTAGAAAATGTAGGAAATATGTTTGTGGCTGGAATGTTTCCTGATCCTTAGAAACCCCTACAGAGCATTAGGCAGCACTATTAATTAGCTCCAAAAGAAAGTCCCATCTAGTCCTCCTTGACTAGTAAATTTTGGATTGGTATATAAGACTAACCAAAATTCAATCTCCTTTCCCCTCCCCTGCTATTTTTCAGATATCAGAGTAATGTTGTTTTTCATTCTTAAACTGAATATTGCATTTGAGATCCTGATATAGGCCATTAATAGTGTTAACAGCTTTTCCATGGGTAGGAATCAGCTTATGGACCAAATACAGCTGTTTCTGCCAAAGCAAATAGGAAGAAACCTAGCTATAATTATGAGACTCATGGTATGAGCCAGACATTTTCAGGAAATATTGCTGCCATGTATTTTGCCTAACACGGACATTTTTTTCCTGTTTCCTGTAGCTTGTTAAATATACACCACTTGCTTTCCCCTCCCAGTATTGTATCAAAGCCATAAGTTATATTTAGTTCCAGTCAAGGCACAGGCAGCCTGTTTATATTTTCAGAGTAATGTAAAAATGCTTGATACCACATGTGTGCCCTTGAGAAATGAAAACACACAACAAATATCTTTACCAGAAAGCTGGAGTTCTCCTACTAAAAGGCATGTTGGAGAAGGAAGTAGTGCTATTAGAAAGCAAACAGCAGGATTCAGTATAATGTGCCCTACAGATCTTTTTATAATACTTCAGTATTGCATGCCTGATCTAAGTCAATGAAGAGATTCCTATGCATATCAAGGAGTTCTGAAATAGGGCCATAGAAGTCATTGTCGTGAATGCTACAGGAGAACATTACACAGATACTCTTAAAACTAAATCTTTCCTGGTGGCCTAAACTTTAGTGTCCCACAATGCTGCTTTTTTATGGCAATAGCCACCTAAGAAGCCTGTCATACAATCATGATATGCTGTATCATGATGTTGTATGCCATGCTTCCGTTGTCACTCCAAAGAAAATATTAAACTAAAGGTTTTTATGAAGAGACAGTTTGGCTTAGATAAGCTCATGGTTTAGACTTTACTAGATAGAAATTTTTTGCCTTATCAGAGTTACAGAGAAACTGAATTTTACAGTCAGGGTTCTTCCATCTCAACCTGATAATTATTACTTCTAGCACCTTCATATTAAATGATTTCTTTGAAATTTGGTAGTGTCAAAGGCTGCCTATATGTATGCTTGGAGGTAGGGGAGAGGGGGACATTTTAATTAGAGAAGTTCCTGAGCAACCACTCTAATTAAAATGCCACAGCAGCGTGTCTACACATGCATTAAATCTAGTACCCCTGGGCACTTACACACACGTGGGAAATCCAATGCATTGGAGCAGACTCGATTAATTAAGTCTGCTGAAGCATGTTAATTGATGCACTCTGGCAGCCTCGCATGTCACGTGTATCAGTGGTGCAGTGTGCCTTCACTCTGAAAAAATGGAGGCGGTGCGCTTTGAACTAAAACATGTTCAATGTGCTTTAGTTCAAAGGACACTGCCACCATTTTCTCAGCTTGGGGACATGATGCACCACTAATGCACATGGTGCATGTGCGCTTTTAATTAGTGCAGCTCGCTAATTAAAAGCACCTGGTGCCATGTCAGGACCACATATTAAAATGCCCTCTGTTGTGAGGTACAAGGAAAATGTGCATTAGTCTGTCTTAATGTGCATTAACCAGAAAGCACGGGCATTTTTACACATGTAAATGCCGCAGTGCCAGGCGCTTTGAAAAGCACCTGGCTCTACATCACTTCCAGTTGTATAAGCAGCAAAATGCATGTCAGAACTGAGAAAATGGCAGTGGTGCACTTTTGAACTAAAACATATAGAAGGTGCTTTTTGCCACTTATACAAATGCATGTGGCAGTGCCTCGTGGGATGAAAAGGCATGTGAATAAATGTCCCACGGTTTTTTAGTGATCCGTTAATGCATATTAAAATAGGTTAATGCATATTAAAGTGTATATGTAGATGTGCCCATGTCACATATTAAGCCCCGGTACTTTTTAAAATGGCTGTGGGATGCTTTATCTAAACATTGTTTAGTTAAAATGCCTCACAGTCATTTTAAAACACTCAGGGGCTTAATACATGGGACACCGCAGTATCACTGCAGTGTTCTAATGAGAACACAAAGGACCATGCGCATAGGTACCCAAAGTGATGTTGCAGCTGTGATGGTTTAGGAAATATGCAAGAGGCGAGACTCTTTGTGTGTGCATCCTTTATTAGACCAACTGCATATTTGGAAGAGACATAAACAAGCTTTCAGGTATCACAGTACTCTTGCTCGCGTCTCGGAAAGAAAAACAGGCACAGCAGAGCTAAACCGCAGATGGACCAAGGGCTTGTGTAAAACTCCACATGTAAATAAAAACAGGTATAAGAGAATTTATCAGGTAGGCAACAGACGAGAGAGATGCAGTAAAAATCTTCTAAGTGGGGGAGCAAAATTGTTTAGGAAGTCATTATCTTCTGTGAAGTGCAGAGATTTAACGAGTATCATAAGAGAGTCTAATGGATGATGAAGTCCCTGGTTCTTACGCTCCAATAGGCTAATGAATCTTTGTTCCCAGGCTCATCTTTTAAAGGGGTTTTGTAAATTTCCATTGAGCTGTGATAGGGAATGATTTTTCTGAGACAAATGTTCTGTTTTCTAGTCTCTGTCATTTCTCTTTTGGTGATCATTCATTCTGGTGTGTAGTTTTTGTCTGGTTTCAGCTACATAGTTTCCATGGGGACATTTGGCATACTAGATGAGGTATACCAAGTTCAGATGTATGATCCATGGATTCTGATGGTTTCATTTTGGGGGATGTTGATTGTTATGGCAGTAGAGATGTGTCAATAGGTCTTGCATTTATTAAGGCAGGGTAGGGTCCCAGTAGGTGCCTGTTGATCAGTAGGGAGTTTACTTCTTATGATGAGTTGCACAATGTTAGAGGGTTGTCTGCAGCCAGGAGTGGTGGACACTGGAAATATTTCTTTAAAATTTTGAAATTTCTTTGAAATTTTATACACCAGCTAATGTGGCTTTTATCCTATCATTTTTCTTAATTCCCAGCATCTCTCTTTCTTCATCCCCTCATATGCCTGATAATGGAAAATGGTGATGCAGGTAAAATAATTGAAGGAATAATTAGAACAGAGAGAAACAAACAAAAAATCATGCGATAGTCCATGAAGAATTTAGTGCCAGAGTAAGTCTGTGACACTTGGCAACTGTGTGTAAAATGGCCATATGACCCAATTGTTCATACTCTCTCCCAGAATCATGTTATTTTGTTTTGGGACATCTGAAATGTTCTGGTCTTTAGTTTTCTCAAGCAAAATATTCTTTTTGTTTGGTGTATAAAAACTACCAAAAAAATTCAGAGGTGCTGATGTATCAATCATAATTGATCTGTGCTTATTAGATCAAATGAGATCAGTGGAGGTAGTTTTCAAAGAGAGGGCCAATGTTTAGAGTGAAAGAGAAGATGGATTCTGTTGCTATCAAAGCTGTTCTTGCTCAAAGTTGCTATTAATGCCTCTTGTTCAGAGTTTGATGATAGATGCACACATATATTTGGAACATTAAGCTAGTTCTTCACTTCAAGCAATATATGGGTGATTGATACTGCTGGCTTGTGTCTCAATAATCTCAGAATACATTTTAAAATGTGTTTTCTCATATATGTAATTACTATATTATTAATAATTACTTTTTTATTATTCATGTAAAATGTCACTGCAAAATTGTCCTTGATTTTGTTTCTGACAATATGGTTGTTAATTTGTTAGGATCTTTTCTATCAGTTGAATCCAGTATCACTGTAATGTGCTGTCACATTCATATTCTCATCTTTCTTCTTTTTCTTTTTTTATAGATCGGGCAAAATGCTGTGACAATGATGAAATGGAACGACTTTATAAATCATTAGAACAAGCAAGTCTGTCACCTATTGGAGACCGTCGTCCTTCAACCAAAAAAGAACTTAGAAAGTCCTTTATCAAAAGAAGCAAAAACCCCTGCATTAATGAGAAACTTCACAAAATCCGGGTGCTGAATAGCACGTTAAAGGTGAGGTTTTTCACTTGGGCAAAATTCACACCTGAGGGAGAAATAGTTTACACTGTTAAAGAAATTACTTTAGGTTTCATTCTAATGCTAAGAGAACATGACCTGAAGTGGCAAAAAATTTGGTTCAGTTTTTAAAATTTTCATTGACTTTTCCCTGAATCTGTGTTTTGTTGTGTTTGAAACTGGAAACAGAAACAACAGTTGATAAAGGACTGTTTTTGCAGTTGTTCTAACTGTTTTGGGGAGTGCAAGAGGAGATGTCATTTTAATTAGATGGGAACCTACTGGATGTTTGCTGAGTGCATGAAACAGGGGAGGCCTTACAAAGGAAAAGCCGAACAAGTGTGTTGATTATAAAGGACAAACAAGTAACCTTGAGCCAAGAAAGTTTTCCTAATGTGATTATTGCAGAATGGACAGGATGCGCTAAAGCTATTTTCATCTCCTTTTATAACTAAAATATTTTTAACAACAAAGGCACCCTGCTTTCATGTTGAGATCTTACCATGCATAGAGGACTAGAGGATTTCACAGAGCTTTCCATGGAGGGGCCTATAAATGTATAAATTCTGGAGTGCATTGATTGTTATGACCCTTTATTTCTACACACCAGCATCATTTATGTCTCATGGAATTCCTAGTGCTGCTTCTGGGATTTTACTGGAAGAAAGAGAAAACTTGCTAACAATGGTAAATTGAAAATAGAAAGATTAAATGAACATACATTTCCTTCCCTGTTTTCTCTTGATTTTTTTTTTTTTTTTTGTCACCAGAAGTACTGGCCAACTATTTTTCTTTAAACATTTTTATTTGGCTTTAGGTTATGTTTAGTTTTAAGACATTTCTAAATAGCTATCACATTGGTAAGATTACCAATGCTATTAGCAGCTGTTGTAAGTATAGCATAGGTAAGGCTTTCCAGGCTAGATCTGCTTTTACCATTCTGAATGCCTGGTGGAAAACAAGGCCTCACCACTTGAGCTTCACCTCTGTATGTGGCTCTGACAATCAGAGTCTGCAGCAGTGACATCTTTCCACAGATGTCCTCAGAGTGAACAGGTGTTACATGTAAAGGAGACTGATAATGGTTTTTTGCTTTTCTATAGTATTGGCTATACAGAAATGATTTCACCATGTAACAGGTATTAATAAAGCAAGCATCACCATCACACATCTGTGGCATTACTTGTGAGGAAAGTGAAATAAAGAAAATATGCCTTGGATTTTCAGGTGCCACAATGCATATCATTAATGGAGCCAAAAGAAGAACCACTTACTATTTTGTAATTTGGTGTCTCATGAGACAGTTATGTTAAGAAGAATGCTGAGCTGAGGCATAAGCAGCCTTTTTCACAAGCGTGAGATTTGTGTAACGCAGGCTTAATATGGAGAGATCATTTTCTTGAGCATTTTTCTTAATGCAGAAAATGTGTTGAGTTTTGCTTTTTTCAATCTTGGAAGTTGGAGCATCGACAAGACAAATACCATGTAGTGTATTTCAGTGACACAAGTAAAAGTCTTAAAGCAATGATTTTTACATTATCCTGTCTGAAAAGCAAATTCTTACAGCCTGAAAAATGCTATACTATATGCATCAGTAGAAGAGTGCTTTTAAAGTAATTTCTTAAGAAATGTAATACGAAACAGGAGATAATTAAACTGCCATGATCTATAGGAAATGTAGAACTCAGGGGAATTTCACATCTGATTTGTATTTGCTGTGATTTGTCTAAACTTTTATTAGTATAAAACAGTGATTTATGAATACCCCTAGGTTCACTGTGATTATTTTGGGCTTCCTACTCCAAATCTTTAGTAACAGATCAGTGTTGCTGTCACAGTATATCATTAACAAAATGTGCTTGGGATGGTTAGGGAAAG